AAAATACCAGCAAACCAAATCCAACAATAACAATACATTTAAAAAATCCTACACCCGATCAAGTGGAATTTATTCCCAGGATGCAAGCATGGTTCATATTCACAAATCAATGTGACATATTAAGAGAAAAACTAAAAATCGATGATTATTTCAATAGAAGCAGAAAAAAAATTGACAAAGTACAGCATCCATTCATGATAAAAACCCACAACAAAGTAGGTTTAGAGGGAACATACCTCAATATAGTAAATATTTTATATGAAAAATCCACAGCTAACATTATTCCCAGTGGGGAAAAACAGAACTTTTCCACTAATGTCAGGAACAAGACAAGGATGTCCACTCTCACTGCTTTTATTCAATACAGCACTGGAAGTCCTAGCCACAGCAATCAGACAACAAAAAGAAATAAAGGCATCCAAATCGGTAAGGAAGAAGTAAAACTTTCACTAATTGCAGATGAGATGACACTATAAATAAAAAAAAGACTAAAGACTCCAACAAAAAAACAGTAAAACTAATAAATGACTTCAGTAAAGTCAAAGGATACAAAAATCAATCTACAGAAATCTGTTGTATTCCAATCACTAATAATGAAGCAGCAGAAAATGAAATTATGAAAACAATCCCATTTACAATTGCACCAACAACAATAAAAAGTCTTGGAATAAACTTAACCAAAGAAGTGAAAGACATGTACTCTGAAAACTATAAAACATTGATAAAAGAAATTGAAGACCACACGAAGAAATGGAATGATATTTTATGCTTATGGATTGGAAGGACAAATATTCTTCAAATGTCTATACTATTCAAAGCAATCTACAGGTTTAATGAAATCCCTATCAAAATACCAACAGCATTTTTCACAGAGCAAGAACAAACAATCTTAAAATTTGTATGGAACCACAAAAGACCCCCTATAGCTAAAGTAATCTTGAAAAAGAAAAATAAAGCTGGAGGCATAAATCCAGACTTCAAGTTTTATTACAAAGCTATAGTGATCAAAACAGTATGGTACTGGCACAAAAATAGACACATAGATCAATAGAACAGAATAGAAAGCCCATAAATCCACAATTATATGGTCAATCTTCAACAAAACAGGAAAGAATATACAGTAGGAAAAAGACAGTCTCTTCAACAAATGGTGATGGAAAAACTGGACAACATATAAAAGAAAGAAATTGGACCACTTTCTTACACCATACACAAAAAATAAACTCAAAATGGATTAAGGACCTAAATGTGAGCCATGAAACCATAAAAGTCCTAGAAGAGAACACAGGCAGTAATTTCTCTGACACTGTCTGTAGCAGCATCTTTCTAGATATGTCTCCTGAGGCAAGAGAAACAAAAGCAAAAATAAACTATTGCGATGTCAAAATAAAAAGCTTCTGCACAGTGAAGAAAACAACCAACAAAACTAAAAGGCAATCTACAGAATGGGAGAAGATATTTGCAAATGACATATCTGAAAAGGGTTAGTATTCAAAATACGTAAAGAATAGATACAACTCAACCCCCCAAAAACAATCCAATTAAAACATGGGCAGAAGTCATGAACAGACATTTCTTCAAGGAAGATATACAGACACCCAACATACACATGAAAAGATGTTCATCATCACTTACCATCAGGGAAACCAAAACAACGAGATATCATCTTACACCTGTCAGAATGGCTAAAATCAATGCAAGAAACAACAGGTGTTAGTGAGGATATGGAGAAAAAGTGAACACTCATACACTGTTGGTGGGAATGAAAACTGGTGCAGCACTGTGGAAGACAGTATGGAGGTTCCTCAAAAAATTAAAAATAGAACACTCTAGCATCCAGGAATCACACTACTGGGTATTTACTCAAAGAATACAAAAACATTAATCTGAAGGGATATATACACCCCTATATTTATTGCAGCAATATTTACAATAGCCAAACTATAGAATATATATCTAAAACCATGCACTACACACATATACATGCAGGCACACACACACACACACACACACAGGAACATTATTCAGCCATAAAAAAGAATGAAATCTTGCCATTTGCAACAACATGGATGGATCTAAAGAGTATAATGTTAAGTGAAATAAGCCAGTCACAGAGAAAGACAAAAACCATATGATTTCACTCCTACGTGGAATTTAACAAAACAAATGAACAAAGAGGAAAAGAGAGAGACAAACCAAAAAACAGACTACAGAGAACAAGTAGTTGGTTACCAGAGGGGAGGTGGGTGGGGGAATGGATGACATAGTTGAAGGAGATTAAGAGCACACTTATCTTGATGAGCACTCAGCAATAAATGGAAATGTTGAATCCCTATATTTTACACCTGAAACTAATATAACACTGTATGTTTACACTGGAATTAAAATTTTAAAAAGTTTTAAAATTTAAAAATAAAATAAACTGTAGGTATATAGCATTTTGAATAGGTAAACATAGCATTCAATAAGCATTAGCCTTTGTTACTAGGTGGTTCCCTGTTGCCAATTATGAAAATATTAATTCATCTTTAAACAAGGGCAGTGAAATAATGAAAAATATTTTGTAAGGAAGTATCATACATAGTGTTGTACATTTCATACATAAACTACACATTTCTTTGTATATTTCAGCATAACTCTGATATTTTCCCTTATCAAAGAGTACAATATTTTAAACACAAAATTCAATCATTCTAATTTGGTTTTTTAGTTGTTAATAAAACATAAAAATAAATCTTTTAAGACCACTTCCATATATAAGGCAAACCTCTCTCTATCCACCTCTAATTAATATACACTACTCATTGTTAGCATCCCTTTCATTGTTTCTGATCGCCTGGCATATTATATATTTTCTAACCTAATCCTTGTGGGAAACAAAACACCACAACGACCACTGGTGCATGTTCCGCTCAGACTCTGAGGTCTTTGAGAAAACTGAAGATTGCAGGGTTAAAAATAACCCAAAAGGATCAGAGTGAAATGCCCTTGCAACTGTGTGGTCAGTTCTAAAGTACGCAGCAGAAGATGTTTAGTAGATAGGAAGCTGGCTGTAAACAGCACACTGGGTACTCCCCTCTGTTCCTTTATTCTGTTCTAAAGATTCTTACGTGCTTGACTAATCCTGTATACATGGAGGAATGTGCCTTACTATGCCCCTGCTGTAAATCATTATAGATCTATATCACTGTAGAAGGTATGTAAGAGGATGGAAAATAAATCTTGGCACCTCAGGCTGCTCGCTCGGGGTCCCCTGTGCCTCGCTCTACTGTCGTCTCTTTTTCTCAGTTCCTTGGCCACCCCAGGTCCCCGACTCTCTGAGGTTGACAAGTGGCATCCGAACAGGGACCTGAAGCCCCCATTGAGGAGTGATCAGCCAGCGATAGGAACCCTACAGAAGGTGCTAATTAGGAAAGTTTATTACAGGGTTATGGGGCAATCAAATTCGAAACATCAGGTTTTGCTGCACTGATACATCATTTTCTTAAAGAATATGGAGCTAAAGTTACTAAGTAGCGCATAGAAAAACGTTTGGAAACAGTAGTTGAATATAATCCTTGGTTTCCGGAAGAAGGCTCCTTAGATGAGGAGACTTGGGTCCGAGTGAAAAATAATGTCTTGAAGGCTATGAGACAGGGTGAAACGATTCCCCTTGATTTCTGGCCCATCCCTCCACAGTAGATTTATTCCCTCTCAAACGATCCTCTCTAGCTCTCTCACCTCTCGAAAAGGAACTTCAATGGCAAGGGGCTAATGATCGTTTTATGGCTTTCCCCATAGACCGAACACATGCTGCTGGTCCCGTCTATGAGGGATTAGATTTAAATTCTTTAAGGGAACTAAGGAAGGCTTGCCACTTGTATGGACCCACAGCCCCTTATTAGAGATTTTGAAAGCCTGGGCAAAATCTGGGGAGTGGATTCCTCATGATTGGCATATGGTTGCACAGGCTTGCCTTAAGCCACAGGATTTATTACAATGGAAAATGTGGTTATCGGATGCTGCCTATATGAAAGCCTGGGCAAATCGGGCTAACCCAGCCATGCATCATATTTCTTTTGAAATGCTCACTGGCTCTGGCCCCTTTTCAGATGTTCGAGAGCAGTTGGTCAACACTCCACCTGCAGGCATAGCGCAGGTATCTGAAATCACCCTCACAGCCTGGGAAAAGCTAACCCCTTCAGGGGAAGTGGGGCAAAGTTATATAAAAATTGTGCAAGGCCCTACAAAAGCATATACTGATTTTATTTCTGGCTCGAAATGGCTATTGACCGCCAAGTAGGTAATAAACCTGCTAAAGAGCACTTGCTAAGACAGCTTGCTTTTGAAAATGCTGAGGACTGCCAAGCGGCCATCCGGCCACATAGGGAAACAGGAAACGTTCTTGATTAAGGAATGCCGTAAAGCCCCCAACCTAGAGCCAATTCCCTTTCTAATACTGCCCCTAGCCTCTGCCCTCGTTGCAGCAAAGGCAAACGTTGGGCCAAGGAATGCAAATCCAAATTTGACAGACAAGGTAACCCACTCCCATTAAGGTCGGGAAACGGGATGCGGGGCCACCCCCGGGCCCCGAACAACATCGGGGGATTCAATATGTCCGCTCTCCAGCAACTTCCTGCTGCGCCCATAAACCCTCTGTGTTATCAATCAGACCCACCACCCAGGAAAGTGCCACAGTAGATTTAACCACTCCTTTTACAGTAAGTCTTCACCCTGGTCTTGGGCCTCATAAAATACCCATGGGTTATTATGGACCTTTACCAAGAGGAACCGTGGGTCTTGTGCTAGGAAGATCTAGCCTAAATCTTAAAGGAATCCAGGTTATGACTGGAGTAATAGATTCTGATTATGAAGGAGAAATAATGGTGCTCGAACAGACTCGAGTTCCTTGGACCTTTCAGGGAGGAGATAAAATTGCTCAGTTATTATTATTGCCCTATGTACAAATTGGTCAGTCCCAACGGATCAGATGAGGAGGATTCGGTAGTACTGATCCTCTCATGGTTAAATGGGCATCATTATTGACTCAGACTGATCGTCCTTCTATGACTCTTAAAATTAGAGGAAGGACTTTCTCAGGTCTAGTAGACTCTGTAGCCGATATTTCAGTAATAGCCTCCCAGCATTGGCCTAATACCTGGCCCACGCAAGCAACCTCTAGTTCGGTAGAAGGAATAGGTTTTGTGACGGCAGAAGAAATTCGACAAAGCAGTGTGCCACTTAAATGTGAGGGACCAGATGAATTAGAAGGAATTACCCAGCCTTTTATCTTAAATACCCCCATTAACCTTTGGGGAAGAGACCTCTTGCAACAATGGGGAGCTGAGCTAATCATCCCCCCAAGTCAACCAGCTAATCAAAGCATGACAAAAATGGGCTATAAACCAGGACAGGGCTTAGGTAGACATCAAGGAATAAAGGAGCCCATCATTGCCCAACGACAAACTCATAGGGCTGGACTGGGTTACCCTTTTCTCTAGGGGCCATTGAGGAAAAGAGGCCTGCCGCTATCAAAATAACATGGAAAACTTCTTCCTTGGTTTGGACTCCTCAGTGGTCCCTTCCCATTGAAAAATTGCAGGCCTTAGAGCAAATGATTCGAGAACAATTGCAGGCAGGACATATACAGAGCCTTTGCAACCTCCTTGGAACTCTCCTGTTTTTGTTATCAGAAAGAAATCAGGTAAGTTGAGTCTCTTAATAGACCTTTGGAATGTTAATGCTGTCATGGAGCCTCTGGGTGCCCTGCAGCCTGGGTTACCCACTCCTACAGCCATTCCCAAACAATGGCCATTGATAATAATAGATCTTAAGGATTGTTTCTATACCATAGCCATTCACCCTGAGGATAAGGAGAAATTTGCCTTTTCTATTCCCAGCACTAACAATAAGGAACGAATGAGACGATATCAATGGACAGTTTTGCCACAAGGCATGACTAATTCTCCTACCATGTGTCAGTATTATGTTGGCCTGGTCCTCAGACCTGTAAGAGATCATTATCCTCGATCCTATGTCATTCATTATATGGATGATATTTTGCTAGCATCACAAAGTGAAACCGAATTACAAGATGTGTATCAGGCCACTTCTCAACACTTGACTTCTGCCGGTCTCATAATAGCCCCGGAGAAAATCCAAACAACTACTCCGGCTTCTTATCTAGGCACTGTGGTAGATAGAACCACAGTGAAACCTCAAACAATGCAAATCTGTAGGGATACCCTCCTTACTCTTAACGATTTTCAGAAACTCCTAGGAGACATTAATTGGATTCACCCTCTCCTAGGGATTCCAACTTATAAATTACAAAATTTATTTAACACTTTACAAGGTGATTCTGCTTTAGATAGTCCTCACGCTTTATCCTCAGAGGCAGAGGCTGAACTGCAGTTTGTTGAGGAGCGATTAAAAACTGCCTTTGCTTACAGGTATGATGATTCCCTCCCCCTGCTTCTTCTTATTTTCCCTACCCCTCATTCTCCGACTGGTGTCTTAGCGCAAGAAGACAAACCTCTCCTATATCGGTAACTTTACATACAAAAACTTCTCAAACTGTTACTCCATATCTATCTCTTGTCGCTTCACTCATTCTCCAAGGATGGAAGCGTTCTATTCAAATTCTTGGTTTTGACCCAGCGCTCATTGTTTTACCTCCACATCTTTCAAGGAAGTCTTTCCCTTCTCTACTGACCAGCAAATATCTCTTGCTGATTATACTGGGTGTATAGGTTGCCACTATCCCTCAGGTAAACTATGGGACTTCCTACAGCGCTCTGCCTGGGTTATAAATTGTGCAGTTCATATGGCCCCAATCCCCTCAGCTCCTACATACTTTATTGGTGGCTCCTCCTCCGGGCACGCCAGAGTCTGGGGCCCTGCTCTTCAGCACTCCATAAAAAACCCTTACACTTCTGCTCAACAGGTCGAACTTGAAGCTTTATTGTTCTTATTGCAGAGTGTTCATTATCCAATAAATATCGTATCTGATTCTGCTTACGTTGTTGCCATTGTTGCGCCTTTGGAAACAGCTCTTATTTCCACAACTCATTCTATCATTAACCCTTTGCTTCAGGAATTATAATTAGAAATTCAATCTCGAACTCACCCTTTGTTCATTACTCATATTCGCTCTCATTCTAACCTCCCTGGACCTCTTACACAGGGAAATCAGTCTGCTGATTTATTGGCTACTCCTGGTTTTGAAACTCCACAAGCAGAACATGCCCATCTTCATACCAACGCCAACCGCCTACATTCACACTGTAAAATACCCTTGCGCTCTACCAGGCAAATAGTCTCTAACTGTCCTATTTGTCAACCTCTACATTTAACTGAGCATCCGGCGGGCATCAGTCCCAGAGGCACAGCTTCTGATTGTATTTGGCAAATGGACGTTACTCATTTCCCACCTTTCGGACGTTTCTCGTATATTCATGTTACAATAAACAGCTTTTCAGGATTTCTTCATGCTACTCCATTGATGGGAGAAAAGGCTGGGCATGTTACCTCTCATTTACTTGAATGTTTTGCTATTATGGGATTACCTACTTGTATCAAGACAGATAATGGCCCAGCATATACTAGCAAGAAAGTACAAGAATTCCTGGCAGAATGGCAAATACAGCATATCACAGGTATTCCTTATAATCCTCAGGGACAAGCTGTAGTGGAAAGGGCGCATGCCACCATTAAGAAACAACTCCGTAAAACTATGTCTAAAAAGAAAGGGGGAATCTCCCCCCGAGATGTCATGGCACAAACCTTACTTATTTTAATTTTTTTTAAATTTACCCCAAGGAGAACCATATACTAGAGCTGACAAACATTTCTCGCCAGCCTCAATCTCAACTCAGGACGCACCCGTGTGGATAAAAAATGAGGAAAATAGTTGGTTGCCCGGGAAATTAATTACCCGAGGCCCTGGTTATGCTTGTGTCATGTCAGATGGATCCAGTCGCGCAATTTGGATACCTCTTCGGAAAGTCTGGCCCAGGACCGGCGATAAAGACAACAGAAGAGGTCTCTCAGCCACTGCAGGGATTGACTACCCAACCCCCTGTCCGAGAGATGGCAACACTCTCCTTGAAGAGACCTCGAAAACGAAAATTCCCCCCGACAACACCCCCAATTTGGGGGCAACTGAAGACCCTCACTCAGAGGGCAGAGCAAATCCTGGAGACGACCAGATCTACCAAAAGCCCTGAACATTTGTTCCTGGCTATGTTGGCAGTGGTGACATGCGCCTCTGCACAGTATGGATTCCATCCTTCTTCTCCAGGCCCGTATGGGGGTCTGGATCCCGGACACTGTACCCTCAAAAAACAAATGAATGCCCAAAACCTCCATCACAGAGTGCTTACGGCAGTGGCTGTTTTGAAAAAAGAAAGGGGGAGCTGTGGGAAACAGAACTCCACAACGACCACTGGTGCATGTTCCGCTCAGACTCCAAGATCTCTGAGAAAACTCGAGATTGCAGGGTTAAAAATAACCCAAAAGGATCAGAGTGAAATGCCCTTGCAACTGTGTGGTCAGTTCTAAAGTATGCAGCAGAAGATGTTTAGTAGATAGGAAGCCAGCTGTAAACAGCACACAGTGCACTCCCTTCTGTTCCTTTATTAGGTTCTAAAGATTCTTATGTGCTTGACTAATCCCGTATACATGGAGGAATGTGCCTTACTATGCCCCTGCTGTAAACCATTATAGATCTATATCGCTGTAGAAGGTATACAAGAGTATGGAAAATAAACCTCAGCACCTCAGGCTGCTCGCTCAGTGTCCCCTGTGCCTCGCTCTACTGTCGTCTCTTTTTCTCAGTTCTTTGGCTGCCCCAGGTCCCCGACTGTCTGAAGTCGACAAATCCTCACAATGATCTTGTGATTTAGGTATTATTACCATAATTTACCATATGAAACAACAGATTCCACAGATTCTAGGAGATCAGTGATTCCAAATCAAGTCTATATGACTCCTTACATATTACTGCCTAAGTGGAATGATAGCCCTGAGCTTCTAGGAAGTGAGCTCCTCTCATTGAAAGCAAGTATTTGCTTAAAGACTTGAGTTTTAGAGAGAAGACAGAGAAAGATAAATTCTACTTTTGTTTTTAATGATAATTATCCTTAAATTTTTCTGCAACATAGAAGCAAACTACTATTAGCCTAGGGTGACTTAGTCATATTTTCTCATCCATTTTTAACTCATTACTCCAAATTCTCAGTCTCTAAAATATTCCTGTCTCAAATGAAGATGTTGGGGTCTGGTGGTGGTAGATGAAATCTTGGGAAGTAGCTGAGACATGTGCCAGCTGAGACATAGCTGTGCTAGGGATGATGTTATAACCATATATTATAAAAAGAAAAGCTTGAGGCCAGGGGGAGTTTGGGGGGAAAACTTAAAAAAAAAAGAAGAAAGAATAAAGCAGAAGAAATTTGCCCAAATGCGTTTTGAGTTGTTATTTAAACCTGACTCTAACTCTAAAACCTATACTGGGAAGTGAGAATTTCTTATTCTCATTAAACCAGTTCAAGAACTTCCTTCACTATTTAATACTTTTTGTTTAATCTAATTTTGCTTTACTTATTTTGCTTATTTTTTTCCTAGTCCAATTTTGCTTAATTTGTTATATGTGTCTTAGACAGTAAACTTCAAGAAGGTGTAGATTTCTTAAAATATAATTTAATTTTCTGGCCCTGCACATTTAGATCTTTACTTTAAAACAAAAATTACCAATAAAAATAATTGCAATTACCCTCTGTAACAGACAGCCACATCTCTTCATTGAACATTAATGGAATAGATATATTAATCTGAGTGACATTCTGGTATCCTGAATGAAAAGTAATAGGTATTAAATTTTTTTACATTATCTGCCGAGTTACTTTGTCATTAAATTTAACTTAAAAATATTAATACATAGGGTTATTAAGTATCTTCAACCGTGATAGTTTATAATTTTAATGGAAAAAGTAGATTATTAATCATTGCTTTGCCTACTGCAATCCTTAGAAAATATCAAAGGTATGTAAAATATGAAATATGTATCACTTTTAAAAAAGACTAAGCTAAATTAATGGAACAGATTCTCAGTAAGAACAGCTGCCAGTGGGAGACTGGGATTAAAATTGTTCTCATTATAAACGATTTGCAGTAGAAAGTTGGGTTATTTCTAAACTCAGTACAATAGAGTTGCAGCAAGATATTGACCTGTAAGCAATAGCCAACATGACTGCAGTAAGGGTTAAATTTGCAGTAATTTACAACTACAAGATCAATATTTCAAGGACAGCACTGAATATTTTTTAACCTACTTTTGTCTTCTAAAAACGATATAAATATATGAGAGTTTAAAAATATAGGACTCTATTATATATAAGTTTATAAGCAGTCCCCCATTATACTTTTTAAAAATAACTACATAATATTATAGCAATGATAAAATTATCATTTCTCCCTCCCCTAATTTAAGGTGATTCTCTGT